GCCTGGCATATAGTTTGGAGGCTACATCTAACAAACTAATGGGTCTATAATTGGCAGGGTTTTTCTTATCACCCTTTTTATATATTGGGGCAATTATGCTCAACTTCCACCCTTCAGGTATACGACCTGAGCTGTTAATGTATGAAAACAATTTTGCAAATATGGGTGACCAGAAATCAGGTCTTATTTTATAGATCTCCATTGGGATCATGTCTTCTCCTGGAGCTTTATTAGCTAGTTGGCTTGCGATTAGCCTCTTAATTTGATTGGGCGTGACGTCTGGCCATTCTGGCAGTTCTGATAACTGGGTATAGTAAACTTGGTGGGGATAGGTCAGGGCAGGGGCCATATATTTCTGTAAAATATGTCACCCAATCCTTTCCTTGGACAGATGCTTCTAACGAGTAGCCCAGCGCATTTGTGCCTTGGGCAACCAGATGCCAAAATTTCCGTGAGTCCTTCTGAAGTGCTGCATCTCCCAATTCTTTCCACTGTTGTTCATAATATATTTGTTTCTTGCTTTTAAGTAATAATTTATAGTTGTTTCGTAACTGGGCTACCTCAGCTTGTAGGGCAAGATTGTGCTTATCCTGTTTTAACTTCAATTTTCTAAGTACCCTAGCTAGGCATTTTTTGCTATTCTGACATTCCTTATCAAACCAAGTCTGTCTCTTAAACTTTTTGTTTTTTATCACACTAGCTGTGGTCATCAGTGGGCGCATTTGGTTGATTATGTTCTCATAAAGTCCAATTACGTTTCCTGTTTCTAACAACATTTTCCCCTTTAATAAAGCAAATTCATGGGAATCCAGGATCTGAATCATTTTTTCTTGGACCTGTGCATTCCATTTTAACCTTCTATTTCCAAGTATCAGATATTCTGTTTCATCCAATAATTTAGGAAAGGCAGGAGAAAAGAATAATGTCAGAGATAACTCAAGTGGAAAGTGGTCACTTTCAGCTCTAGGAATTATCCTGAAGGTATCTCGGTTAACTGGCACATTATTAGATGTTAGGATATAATCTATGGTGCTAGTAAATCCTCTGGAGGAGGTAAAAGTAAAATAACCCTCTTGATCCCCTTGACCGTGCCCATTGCATAACAAAAGGTTATGCTTTATTATAAGTTCACAAAGATGTTTCCCAGCGCGATTAGAGGTGGTGTCCATTGCTGCCCTCTGACAGATTTCAGGTTCATCCTCCAAGTTTAGACCAGATAATATTGTATTTTGTGGGGAAACAAGGCCGATCCGGGCATTGAAGTCACCCCCCAAGATAATCCGAGGCTTAGGTGACAGAGAGTCAATACTTTCGAGCAGTTGGTCAAGTTTATCCCAATATGATCTCAGTTCCCCACAAGACTTTACTGGAGGTATATACACACGTATGCAATAAGTATTTCTCAGGAGACTATCAGAAAGGGACAACACTAAAAAATTTGGGGTGGTCAGCAAGGGACACTGTTGAATTGATACATTAAGAGAGGTTGACACCAGCACCGCCAGCCCCCCACTAGGCCTTCCATACTTTACAGTTTTAAGAGCTGGTTGAGTGTAACTTGTAAAACCCTGTAATTCAACCATAGTGCCCTCTTTTGCCCAGGTTTCTTGAAGAAAGATGATATCATGTGTTTGTAGATAGGAACAGAAGTCACTGTCTTGGATCTTGTTCGTCCACCCTGTTACATTCCATGAGAGAAGTTTAATTGTTTTACAGTGATTTACTCTTAGTCAATTGTTGGTCGATGTGCTCTCGGAGTTTACCAGTTTTTGAGGCAGGTTATTGCTAATGCTAGTGGAATAATCCAGATGTTCGATTATTTCAGTCGTCGTACATAAAGTACTCACATTTGTAATCACTGGGCCTTTTCTTTGCAAATTGTTTGCCAATGGGGATTTCTTGGGTGTATTTCCTGACTCCTCCTCTTCCAAATATCTCATCTTTGTCCAATACTCTGGTGGTTCTATAGTTATCATTCTGTTGTGGCCATTGGGTCTATTATCAGTCTCTGCCTCCGGTTCTTTAATCTCTTTCAATGTCTGGCTCATAAGGTCAAGCCTCTTGATAACTGTTTGTTGCTCTTCCTGAGGGAGATTCCTAAAGGAGCTGAGAAAATCCTCTTCCAAGGGATATACAGAGTGCTCAGATTCCTGAAGATGATTATCTAGAGGAATCGGCTGTTCCTTTTGGCTCACCTGGTTATTTTGATGTTGGGCATGATCCTGTGGATTCAACTCAGGCATGTCTGTTTCCTCCCCACCTGCCAAGTCTTTTTGTGATGTCATTACTTCCATTGGGGATCCAGGCTTTGGTTTTGTGGGCCCCTCTGAAGCACCAGTCCTCATCTTACATAAGGGTGCAACAATAGAATTGCAAAATACCCGGGTTGGAAAAACTCCTCTGCTTGACAATCTGAATTTCAGCTTGTGAATTAGTGAGGGCAGTCTAGTAGAGGAAAAAGTTAACATAATTTTTTGGCTTTGATTTGTGGTACTCAAGAGTTCAGTCCTAACGAGGTCGATCTCTGTAAGTCCAATGCCAAGTAAGTCTGATAAATGTCGTTTGGAACGCTGGGCACCTTTCCAGCTAGGAGTTTGATCTGGCCTTCCACAAATTGTCATGCAGATCTTTTTTGGTTGGAAGATTAAACAAGAAGAGTTTGTTTTAAGAGCCTCTGCACATTCTATGTTGAGCTTAGGGGTCTGCTCTTGTTGTCGCCAATTTCCTTTGGTACTATGGTGTTCTGTTGATGCCTGCTTGTTATTAACTGATAAACTGTGGACCTCTTTGGATAACTGGGTTATTTGAGAGGCAAGACCTCTAATTTGCTGGAAGATATGCTCAACCGTTCTTGCAATTAGAGTTAATTGGGAGCTCTCCCTCCTTGTTATTTCTTCCTCTCTGAGGAGCACAGGATCAGCTTGCCCCATTGCTGGATCCAGTTCCACGCTCTCACCTTGAATACTCTCCCCACACTCACAATCATCTTCAAGAGGAGAAAACCGGTTTTTTGTTGGAACTGTAAAAGCAGATTTGTTAAAAAAGTCCTCTATTTTAGATTGTTTGGAAACCGGTGAGAGAGCTACATCCTCTGGGTCCCTGTGGCGTTTACTAGCAGGCATAGCGTCACCGCAGGGAGTGAACAAGGAGAGATTTCCCCAACCAAAAAAGAGAGAAAAGAATAGAAAGTGCTCCGTTTGTTCTCTGTGTGGAGACTGCCAGGGGTTTCAGGGACAAAGTATAGAAGGGAGTTGGCGGTTAATAGCTAGCAGCTGGCGGCCTGCCCAGGATGCTTCACAGAACTTGCCCAGGATGTTTCTCATAGCATAGACTCTCCATAAGTTAAAAAATAGAGAAGTAAAAAAGGAAAAATTACTTCCCTGGGTGGCAGTCAATGCTAATTACAGACCTGCTATCAGCGGAGCTCCGAAGCCTGCTTGCTAAGCCATCGCCATCTTGGCCCCTCCTCTACAAGCCATTAAAGTTAATGGCTTTCCTTGCAGTCACTCACAAGAATTCTAAGGTCTCCAGTGTACAAGGCAAACGCATACATATATTTATGTATGCGTTTGCCTTGTACACTGGAGACCTTAGAATTCTTGTAACAACCCTGCCATGTATACATATATATGTTTCTGTATATGCTGGAAGTCACCCAGAGTGTCTGCAGCAGCCCAGTTAGATGGGTAGGGTATTATTATTATTATTATTATTATTATTATTATTATTAAATCCTTAATCAGGGTTACAACAATGATTCAAAGCAGAGATGGGGGATAACTATTTGCAAAGTGGGGACAGGGACTCCTCCTGCCTCTGTAACCCCCCTCCATGTGCACAAGGCGTGTGTTGGGAGAGGGGTGGGTCTCTACAGCCCATGTGCTTTTACTCAGAAGTAAGCCTTGCCATGCTCACAGGGGGAGATGTTTTCCCAAGTAGACATGGATAGGATTGCAGGCTTTGCAGTTCAGCTATGTGGAGCAATGGATTGGTGTGCAAGTGAGATGGTTATTGCTGCTGTTATTAGCACTGTAATTGCGTTGAAATACAGTTATTTGCCCCCCCCCAAAAAAAGTTGAGAAAAGCTAGAGGTGGCCCAGAAGAAAATGGCTTGTTTTCTCTCTCTCCCCCCCCCCCCCCGCTTCTGTGGAAGAAGCATCATGCAACACTAAACCCATGTGTCTGCCTGGGATGTATTGAATGCAGGGGATTCTGTGCATTGAGCTGTTGTGCTCCAGGTTTCCACATCTGCCTGCTTAGTAGCACTGAAGGGAGGTCTTATTTGGTGGTATCGGTTCTAGGGCTGCTGGGATTATTGCATCCAGATGAAGCCAATGTTTTTGGCAGTGTGCGCACACCAGCCCACATCTTGGTGTCTGCTTTGAAGCCAATTTCCACACATCAGCTGGCACCTTCTGAAGACACCCTCAGTGCAGCCCTGCACATGGTTTGCAGAGCTGCATATAATAACGAATCACAATGTCTTGTGGTGTATGGAAAACTGTGTGTGATCTATGGTTGCATATCAAGTACGGTATCTTGTCACTTGGCAGTCTATAGTAGCCAAAATGGGTTGGGTCTGGTTGCTGCGGCATGTACTGTACTGTGTGCTAAACTGATGGAGAGATTACTTCAACCTATGGAATCAAAAAACTGTGGGGTTGGAAGGGACCCCAAGGGTCATCCAGTCCAATCCCTGGTGGTGCAGGCATCACAACCAAAGAATCCCTGACAGATGGCCATCCAACCGCTGTTTAAAAAACCTCTGGTGGAGAAGAGTCCACCATTAAAAATAATAATTCTTGCTGCCACCAAGATAACATTTTATACAAACACCACTTTCTGAGTCCATTCCGCTGTCAAACGGCTCTTATCGTCAGAAAGTTATTCCTAATCTCCTTTCTTGTCATCTGAATCCATTGGTTCGGTTCCTATCCTCCGGAGCAGGAGAAAACAATATCGTCCCATCTTCCACGCAAAAGCCCTTCAGATATTTGCCTTTCGTATCATATCATATTTGGTCAATGAGTGCTCAAAACTGAATTTGCTGCTTTGTGACTGAATCTCACCTGAACATGGAGACAGTCTGGAAGCCTCCTCAGTGTCAGGCAGTGTGGAGTTTGGAATGTACCTGCATTGAGTTAAATTAACAAATCCAAATTAGCAGTGCTTACTTCCTTGGGCATTCATGGGAGAGGTAGCAGGGTAGAACGCTTGATGCGTTAGTTTATTTCTTTTGGTTTCCATTGTCAAAAGACACAGGATTCTGGGTTCCCTTTAAAGTGCTTTTGTGGCTGAAGAGTGGGGTCCTCACACTATAAATAAGTGAACAGATAAATAAATATTTGACCCCATCTTGATGCGACATCCTTTTTCCTCTCCCCTTCCAGGAGCTCCATTGTCCACATCGATACCCATTTGAAGCAGAAAACCACATCCTGCACCCTCCAGGTTCTCCCTCTCCCTCCCTCTCTCTCTCTCTCTCTCTCTCTCTCCAGAGACAAAGGAAGTGATCTACCTAGTTTTCCCTCCCAACAGCAGCCGTTAACACCAGTTGTGATATGATCAAGGTGCCTTGGAGCTAAGTGAGCACAGAGCTGGAGCCAGGTTGTCGTGGGAACTGCCTCCTTGGCTGCCCTGCCCAAGATGGAACCCCGGATGGAGAAGGGCGAGGAGACAGAGAACGTGAAGATCACCTCCCAGCTCCTGAAGGCCAAGACGGGCGAGTTTGACCTGGAGTCTATCCTGCTGCTGAAGCTCCGGGGCCTGGGCATCGCAGACCTGGGCTGCCTCGGGGAGTGTGCCGGCCTGGAGTGGCTGGACCTGTCCGGCAACACCATCGTCCACCTGGGGCCCCTCTCCTCCCTCAAAGCCCTGGCCGTCCTCAACGTCTCCTCCAACCGCATCTCCAGCTTGGAGCCCCTGGCCGGCTGTGAGAACTTGCAGAGCCTCAACGCAGCGGGGAACTTGCTGAGCAGCCTCCAGCAGCTGCAGTGCCTGGCCGGCCTGCGGCACCTCGAGAGCCTGCGCTTCAGCGACCCGGTGGGGCGCCTCAGCAACCCGCTCTGCGGCGGCGCCGGGTACCGTACCGCCATGTCAGAGATGCTGCCGGGGGTCAAGGTGATCGACGGGGAGCGGGTCTCCGGGCGCGGCAGTGAGCTCTACCAGCTCTGCAAGGACATTGACAGCTCTCTCAAGCGCTTCCACGGAACCGGAACCGGCGAGCTCAGCGGCCTGGCCAAGCCCTGGGTGGAGGAGGGGTACTGGGACGTCCGCCCCGCCCGGAGGAGCTCCATCGTGGAAGAGGCCTACAAGCAGTTCAACGAGGCCCTCCAGGAGTGCCGGGACCTGAGCAAGCGCGCCGACGACACCATTTCCCAAGCGGAGAGGGCCCTGAGCGCCCGCTCCGATTCCAGCTCGTTCGTCTTTTGAGCCGCCCTGCACTTCGACGCCCTTCCCTTGGCGTTGCCGAGCTGGGCATTGTTCTTTCAGTATCATCCTTGTCACTCACTGGCCTGTGAAGCCATTATTTTGCCCTGGCCTCTGTCCCTTCTGAAAGCAGCGGGTACGTCCACACCCTTAACTGAACCTGTTCCCCACAGCTCCTGAGAAAGCTTGTAGGATCTGTGTGACCCTCAGGTCCGAGTCAAAGAGCATCGGGAGGAAGTTTTCAGCCAACGGGACTCTGAAATCTGGATTATCAAGTCACAGCTCAGCTCGTGTTGGGACCTTTTGGGCTACTTCGGTGTAACGTGGAGCCTAGTTTTTTAATGCGGTGTGGACTGGTGTGGTGCTCCTCATCCAGCCCCCTTTCTTAGTAGGTTGACATCTTGGATCTACATCCATTCACCCTCAAGGATGACTCTGTCTGTCTTCAAGACAAGGGGCCACAGTGCAGCGCCTCTCGGGCCTTGTCCTCCGAGGTGATTCTCACGGCCCTTTTCCCCACACGGTGAAACCACAGCGAGTTGACTTATCCAGCACGCAGACACAGAATCAGCTTCACTTGTCTTTTTAGACCACCAAGTCCCCACATCCTCCCGACTAAACCTTGTCGGTGACATATTCCCAACATGCGTGGACCTTTGTGTGTTGGTATGTCAGAGCATGCACCATAGTTCTTTCTTCACCCCACCAAGCTGGTTAGCTGGGTGGCATTTATGTAAATCCACAGAAAAATATTTTGAGAACCGTGGGGCTGGGCAGAAGTGGCCGGCTGGAGTGTGAACCCACATATTAAGGAACATCCACATGTCAGTGTTTGTAAAAAGCAAAAAAAAGAAGGAAAGGGTTCTGACCTCCCTTTGTCTCTTCAGCCTGGTCCTCGGACCCTTGTCTGCATAAAAGAGTCCATGAGAATATCCTTGCAGAGTTTTATTCTTAAAAGTCTTTGTGCAAAACACGACTGAATAACTATACACACCAGCACTAACTAACCAACCAATCAACCCAAACACCAGCCACAGCCAAACTAACATTTCTCACTTATATATACAACTTGGTGCAGACCGCTGAGTCATGCTGACCCAGCTTTATTCGCATTAAAGAAACAGCGGCCATTTTAGCCGTGACACCACATTCAGTAATGCTAAACAATTTGTTCTGGATATTGAAAGCCCCATCTGCATTGAAGCAATATCATAGCACATTAAGCAGTCATGGTTTCTCCTGAAGAATCTAGAGGGCTACAGATTGTTAAGGGTGCTGAGAGTTGTTAGGAGACCGCTAGTCCCACAAGTAGTTTTATGAACCAAATCCCTCTTCTCATGGAACACTCTGTGTGAAAAAGGGAGTCTCCTAATAGCTCTTACCCCCCTTAAACTACATTTCCCAGGATCCTTTGGGGAAAACTATGATGCTTCAAAGTGGTATGATACTACTTTTAAGTTTACAGTGCAGATGGGGCCTTAATTCTCAGCTGGCAGCTTCCGTACTGTCCAAGTGGTCCTTACCAACTCATGGAGTTTCCTTCACAGCTGCCCAACCAGCAGGGTTGAGCTGAAAGTCCCCTTGTGAACTGTGTCATCCCAACTGCAGCAGCCAGAAGAGTCAAAATGATGTGTTGTAGATCCTCTACATTTTGCATCAATCCTACGAAGGAGTGGCCCTGTTTTCACAGGCCTTGACGTCAGCCAAATTCTCTACCTCGCATGCTTCCCCAAACTCCTCCAGGCATCAGTTATGATGTCCGGGTCATGCTGCCATTCTCTCCAAGAATACTGTAGCTTAGGAATCTAATCTTCTTTATTTCGTCGTCTTTTCCTTTTCTTATCCTGCCATTCCTCCCACGGGAGCTCAGAGCAGCGAACAGCATAGAAATACAATCTGAAAAAAACACATTTCTAAATACAACGCAATACCAGCTCATATATACAGTGGTACCTTGGTTCTTGAACGGCTTAGTTGTCGAACAAATTGGCTCCGGAACGCCAAAAACCCAGAAGTAAGTGTTCCGGTTTTCGAAAGTTTTTCAGAAACTGAACATCTGAGGTGGTTTCTGCTTGAGTGCAGGAAGATCCTGCAGACAATCAGAAGCCATGCCTTGGTTTTCGAACGGTTTCGGGAGTCAAACGCACTTCCGGAATGGATTAAGTTTGAGTACCAAGGTACTACTGTATATTTATAAAGGGCCCTACTATTCCAAAGCCCTTCAAACTGCCCCAGGGCAAGAAAAGAACAGCTCACCAGTCTGTGTGACATTTCACTTGGTTTTTGCAGATTCAGAGGTAGCATGGTCAGATCATAAAGAGGAGAGTTGATCTGACTTTTGTGCGTGTCAGAGAAGATGGGCTGGAAGTTTCCTGGAGGAGAACTTGGAGATCCCTGACCAGGGGGAGGGAACCCACACCTTTGAAGCGGAGGTGTAGAAAGGATGCTGAGCCAGTGCTTGGCATCTGGGGCGCTGTATGTTCCACCCGGGGATTGCATGCTGGGTCTCATGACATGGGAATGCCGTGCAGTTATTTGCCTGTGAAATAAACCCAATGGTCTCCCTTGCTTTTCTGCTTCCTGGTTGGGTGCAGAGCTGCCTGCTTTGTGGAGTGCTTGGTTTCTCCCCCGTAGTCCACTCCCGATTCAGACGTGCTCCAGAGTGAGATGCCCTTCCCTGGGCAACTGAGCCTCTTCCAGAAGCTGGTGCCTGCCAAGTGGACCTGGCAAAGGCCCTCCTCCTTCCTATCCATTTGTCACACGCCAACCGGATGTTTGTGCCCTCCCTGGAAAACCAAACATTCCCCGTCTTCACCAAGGTAACCCAAATTCTGAGCAGCGGGAGCTGCAAATTAAGCAAAGCTCCGTCTGCCTTTGTGCGTCTTGCACATCTGCTTCTCTTGATTATGAAGAGGCGGGATAAGGAGCTGTGAAGCCAAATAAATTCTGCCAAACAGTAGAAAGTTTGTTCACCCCCCAGCCCTGCTCCCTGGCTTCTGAGATTCCACCAGCCTCTGTGCATGCATGCAGTTCAGTTGCACACGCAGGCAGCCCTTACAACGGATTTTTGTAGCGTGGAGATCTGCGATTGAAGCAAGTCACGCTAGTTAAATGTAATTGCATGTACTCCTTTAGCTCTGCTGTAGGATTTATCCTTTTTATCTTCCATAAAATAAAAACACACACACACACAAACGCAGAGGTTTAAAACCGAGAGCAGAGGCTCCCAGGATACTGAGCAGGCCAATGGTTTGCTTGCCTTAGGAAATTCATACTTCAACGCTCTCTCCGCCTGTGTCTTATTTTATGCAGAGCAGCAGCAACACATTATTTTATTTGGTACATTTCTATCCCCGCTTTCTCCCAAGGAGCTCCTGGGGGCATATGTAATTCTCCCCATTTAATCCTCACAACTGTGAGGTAGGTTAGGGTGACGGTGAGCAACTGGCCGGAGCTCACCCAGTGAGCTTCATTGCCGAGTCAGAATTTGAACCCTGGTCTCCTAAGGTCCTAGTTTGGAACTCTTAACCATTATAACACACTGGCTTGGCCAGAAATCTGTTGTCCTGTTTTCAATTTTCTCACTTTTCACTTCCCTTTCACAACTGCCTCCACTGCCTGAGTGTCTCTAGAATGACAGACTTGTGATTGTCCCCCAGGGCTACAGAATAATAGAATTGTAGTGTTGGAAGGGAACCCAAGGGTCATCTAGTCCAACCTCCTACAATGATGGAATCTCAGATAAAGCATCCATGACAGGTGGCCAGCCAACCTCTGCTTAAAAACCTCCGAGGAAGGAGATTCCACCACCTTCCGAGGGAGCCCAGTCCACTGTCAAACAACTCTTACTGTCAGAAAGTCCTTCCTCTTGTTTCGTTGGATCTTCTTCCTTGTAATTTCATAAAATCATAGAACTGTAGAGTTGGAAGGGACCCCGAGGGACATCTAGTCTGACTCCCTGCAATGCGGGAATCAAAATCAAATCCATCAGTTTGGATCCTACCCTCTGGAGCAGCAGAATAGAAGCTTGCTCCATCTTCCTTCAGATATTTGAAGATGGCTGTCCTTTCACATCTCAGTATTCTCTTCTCCAGGCTAATGTCAGGTGTGCGTGCAGGAGCCAGGCCCTGTGACCAATAGGACTTTGCAGGACTGGGGCCTTCCTAAGTTTGTTCTGAAGAGGCAAAGCACGGCTGCACAGGTGAGGCCACTTGGTAACTCACAGCACCTGGTGGCAAGAGCCGGGAAGGGATATAAGGTCAGCATTTCCCTTCAGCTCTTTGCTACAGCAACTCGTTCTCTGCCTTGCTGTGTTTGACTCCTTGCTTCTTGATCCTCGACCCTTGATTTCATGACTCCTTGCTTCCTAACCCTTGGACCCTTGGCTTCTTGACCCCTGGCTCTCTGGCCCTCGGACCCTTGGCTTCCTGACTCCTAGCTTCTGGACTCCCGTTCCTGCTCCCACCCCGCCATCTTGCCCCTGGTCCTGACGTCCCCAGCCGGGACTTCGATCGCCCGTGAACCAGACCGTGACAGCTAAAAGGCAAGAAGGCATCCACCCACCCAATGGCCTGCTAAACCCCACTTCCAAAAGTTCAGCTGGAGGCTCCCTTTCCTCCCCAAGACATTTCCATAGCTGAGACAGGGACCCCAGGAATTCTGGCCCCCAAGGTGAGTTGACTAGTTTGTCTCAATGGCTGGACCGGCTCTGGAATAGACCAGAAGAGACCACCAGGGTACAGATGCCCACAGATCAGGGGCCAGAGCGCCCTAGCAGTGGGCACCAGAGAAAAGGTTTTGGGGAAGAGGGATGAGCCCCCTTGCTCCTGAAATAACCACACACCATGGCTATGAAGCATCCACTTAAACCTTTATTAGGGAAATAAAGAAAGGAGGAAGGAAAGTCAAGCTTGGAAGACAGAAGACTCCTCTGGGACCAAGAGTGGTTCCATTCCTGCGGCACCGAGACCCAAACTGGGGGATGTTCTGCTTTTCTCCAAAAGGAAGACGGTGCCTTGTTTCCTTGATGGTCGGAGAACAGCCCAGTAAATGTGAATCCCATCTAGACAGGAAGGAGAATGAAGGTGGTTATTACAGATGAAGTGAAGGATTTCAGGCAGGAGTCTATCCCAGCCCTACCTGGAGATGCCAACATAGACTGAACCTGGGACCTTCTGCCTGCAAGGCAGACAAAACAGCACATCCTAGAATCATGGAACTGTAAAGTTGGAAGGGACCCTGAGGGTCATCCAGTCCAACCCCCTGCAATGCAAGAACCACAGCTAAAGGATACCTGACAGACGGCCATCCAACCACCAACAAAGGGGAGTTCAGCATCTTCCGAGTGCATCCGTTCTACTGTCGAACGGTTCTTACCATCAGAATGTTTGTCCTAATATTTAGCCAGAATCTCCTTGTCATTTGAACCTGTCCTCCAGAGCAGCAGAAAACAAGCTTTCTCGCTCCTCCTTGTGATACTTAGAGATGTTGAAGGCTGCCGGAAAAGATATCTTGGGCACTGGGCAATGACTTTTTAAAAAACAACAACTCCCAGGCCTTGGAACAGCTTGGATCATATTTAGATACCATTTAATATCATTTATTTTCGTCTCAGCAGACTAATGTCAATTGGTTGGCTTGAGCTT